CTGCATTCATGTAGCTTAGTCAAACAAAAACTCAAAAAACGAATGAAAAAAAAAAAAAGAAAAATTAGTTTAATTATCGTAAGTACTGCACTGATGTTATCTGAGAAACTGTGTTTCTTTATTTTATGATTTTTTTCGACACACATCTCATGTTTCGTTATTTTTAGGCACTCATCTTATGTTTAAAGAACTTCGTTTTCACCATGGGTCTCATGACTCATTTATACCCCCTGGTTTGTTCCTTTTTATTTTTTGTAATTTTTCTATATTTTATTTATTTAATTTTTTTTTTTTTTTTTTTTTTCTTTTTTTTTGTAGACAGTTCCAGAACTCTTGTCCAGTCCGTTCAATCAGATTGGTTGTTGGCTCGACGCTTAATCCAAAGGTCATTCATGTATATACCTACTTCAAAAAATGATCCGAATTTTCGAAGGAAAAAATAATCAAATACCCATAAAAATTGGATTAAAAAATCAAGGGAAGAATAAATCGTATACAAATAAGCGACACCGGGTACAGCTTGATAGTGCTTAATTTCCAGTAGTAACGATCATACCAAACCAACTCGATCGGTGTTTGAATCGATGTTCTCAATAATACTGGTAATACACGTTTTGAATTAAATTTTTGAGCTGCGTTTGATCAATTCACTGGGAATCATCGATATCTTATATTTTTTTTCATACATATTTTGAAATAAAATTTAATAACGTAATGAAAAACCGGTTTCGTGTACAATTACGGTATATCTTGCTCCTGTAAAGATAATGATGCATATTGTAACCACATTGTTATTCATCGAAACGAGCAATTGATGAAAAAAAAAAAAAACTCCTGCAGTAGAAATTTACTTTACTTAGATATGGATAGCAGCAAAATAGATCTACTTGGAGAAAAACATAAAAACTTTTATCAGTTTTGTATACGTATAACGCGTGCAGTTGCGTAACTGAACGGCTATTTGAACGGATGAATTGACACGCAACTATCAGCCGAGCCTTATCGGAGCTAAATACAAATGCCTGTTGGATAAGTTGTGACCGACGAAACGAAAATATAACATGTGTTTTGTAAAAAATTTTAACTAATGAATAAAACTTCCACTGTCGTGATGACTCACTTGGACAGCAGATAAATAAAGTATCGTTAAAATGTAATTAAATAAAAATGCTTGGAAGCAGATGTTATAGTTTGACGCACAAAGAGTAGTACTCTTCTGGAGTGACGCTCGGGCCGAAAAGCCACATGGCACGCCAGCGGTACCGTTATTTACCGAGGAGCCTGCAGTCTCGAGACGCTGGGCCTGTCGAGCGCCACACAACCTGCCCCACATTCCTCGAGGGGCCCTACACACGGACCCTACTCCGTATGTTACTCTCTCTCTCTCTCTCTCGCAAATTCTAAACGAATTCAAGTCGCCGATTGTCAATTCCACTTGTGATTAGTGCATATGTGATATCGTGTGTCCCAGTGGTAAAGTCGTGCATACGTTGTACGAGCCGTTGCGCTTGGGAAGGGGGGTAGTCAGCGGTGACGTGTAGGTATACGTGTGAGCAGGTGTTTTGATCCGCGTTGGTTCGCTGATAAAAAAAAAAAAAAAAAGAATATATCGATCGGCCAAAGGGCATCAAGTGTGCAAAATGTCGAAGCAGTCGAGCCCAAAGTCGAAGCTGTGGGCGTACTTTTGGTGGTTGTTTGGGGGCTTGTTTGGGGCCCACCACGTCTACCTCGGTCGCGACGACCAGGCGCTCATCTGGTTTTGTACCATCGGTGGTTACTTCGGGATCGGCTGGCTGCGCGATC